TGTGTGCGTGGGCGATGGGGATGGGGATGGGGATGGGGGCTCAGGGGATGGCGGTTCGGATCATTCAGTCGTCTCTCTTCATGGGACTGGATTGGCTTCGGGATGGGGAGGCGGGGTGAAGAAGGGTCCTGGTCGTTGCTCGCTCGCTTTCCGGGTGTCTGGATGGGCGTGTATCCTGCGCCTGGTACCGTGTTGATTGGCCGGGACGGTGGCACTCACGCGGCTCTCAACTTGTTGCTCTGTTGTTCTTTAGAGTCGACTGTAGTTGACGTTTTGATTACTACTGCCATGGCTTTGCTCGCTCGTTCCCTGCGGGCCAGCGCCCAGCCGGCTCTGGTCTTTGCCCGATCCATGGGCGTGCAGTACAAGGCGCCCATCCGCGACATTCAATTCGTTGTCGACGAGGTATTGTTGGCTGCTGCCCGCTGACGAACACGCACTTCCATTGCCTGTTCTGGATCGCCTCCCAAACGCACGTGCCCGCACTGCGTTATTCTTGACAACAGCCAGCGAACTTGGCAGCGGGGCTGCCTTCTTCTTCTTCTTCTCTGTTTTTTTTTTCCCTCCCGGGTTGGCTTTGCCATGTGTAGTGTGCTTGCTGAAGGGCGTTGAGGCAGGTGTGAGCGGGGTACAGCTGACGCGTCTTCCCGCCTCTCGGTTCCTTGGGAGCGGATGGCGCGGCCTTTCGTCGGGAAGAATCTTGCAGCCCCCTCTCGAAATATATTTTTTTTTCTTCTTTTCGTGTTTTTGTTTTCTTTGACGTGCATCGCTTTTGATGGGGTTGGCATGAAATTGCTTTTCCTTCTCCTCCTTCTCCTCCTTCTCCTCCTTCTCCTCCTTCTCCTCCTTCTCCTCCTTCTCCTCCTTCTCCTCCTTCTCCTCCTTCTCCTCCTTCTCCTCCTTCTCCTCCTTCTCCTCCTTCTCCTCCTTCTCCGTGCCTTCCTCGTCCTTGTTTCGGTTGTCGTCTCGAGCTCCTCCGACAGGGTGGTATTCTCTCTGACTGATTGCGGTTTCCTTGGGCTCTTGGTTTCTTTATCCCTTCCCTTTCAGTCGCACCGCCGAGTTGAATGCTTTCCGCAGTCTGACTTTGCTTGCTCCTCGTCTTGCGTGCCAGGTGCTCAATGGCGATCGCCACTACCAAAAGGCCGGTTTCACCGACGTCTCGTCCGATTTCCGCCACAGCGTGTTGGAGGAGATGGCCAAGTTTTCCGAGGAGGTACGCCTTGGCTCTTCTCTCATCAAAGCATCACATAGTCCTCGGCTTGGCCTCACGTTGCCCGCGCACCTGGGTTCGTCACCTCTCAGGTGCTTTCCCCGCTCAATGCGGCTGGCGATGAGCACGGCTGCAAGCTTGATGCCAAGACCAAGGACGTGACCACCCCGCCCGGCTGGAAAGAGGCCTACGAACAGTACAAGGAAGGCGGCTGGCAATCACTCAGCGTGGCTGAGGAGTATGGCGGTCAAAACCTGCCTCTTTCACTCGGTCTCATCAAGTCGGAGCTCATTGCTACCGCCAACTGGGCCTGGGGCATGTACCCTGGTTTGAGCATTGGTGCCATGAACACCCTGACCCTTCACGGCAGCGAAGAGCAGAAGCAGCAGTACCTCACCAAGCTTGCCGAAGGTACTTGGCTCGGTACCATGTGCCTGACGGAGCCCCAGTGTGGCACGGATCTTGGCCAGGTCAGTGTAGACATCTTCTCAACATGTCAGGTCAGATTTGTACTGGTGCCAGCACTGGTGTCTCATGGCATGCTGTATTCTCTCCTTGTATACATTGGAGTTGACAGATGAAGACCAAGGCGGTCAAGCAAGCCGATGGCTCGTACAAGATTACCGGCACCAAGATTTTCATCTCGTGTGGCGAGCATGACTTTACAGGTGCGTGTCTGCCGTCCTTTGGCAATGAGCCTTGGCACAGGGGCGTTGATGGTACGGTGCTCATGGTGTGGTGTTTGTTAGAAAACATTGTGCACATTGTGCTGGCGCGCACGGAGAATGCCCCTCCCGGTACCAAGGGTATCTCTCTCTTTATTGTGCCCAAGTACCTGCAGAAGGAGGATGGCTCGCTCGAGACTAAGAAGAACTTGGTCTGCGGTGGCCTGGAAAAGAAGATGGGCATTCACGGCAGCTCCACCTGTGTCATGAACTTTGAGGACTCCAAGGGCTGGCTCATCGGTGAGGAGAACAAGGGTTTGTTCCAAATGTTCACCTTTATGAACACGGCGCGCATCGGTACCGCCCTCCAGGGTCTCGGTGCGGCCGAGTTGGCCTACCAGGGTGCCCTTCCATACACAAAGGAGCGCATGTCCATGCGTGCGCTCAGCGGCACTCGCGAGCCTGAAAAGGCCGGTGATGCGATTATCCATCACGGTGATGTCCGCCGCATGCTCCTGACGTGCAAGGCCTTTGCCGAGGGCGCGCGCAGCATGATGTACGAGACTTCCATGCTGGCTGATTACATGCTCACGGCCAAGACGCCCGAAGAGCACAAGAAGGTTGACGACGAGATGGGTTTTCTCACGCCTATCCTCAAGGGTACGTCTTGCTAAGCTCTGTTCTGACGTCTTTCTGCCCCGCCAATTGTCTTGTGAGCCCAAGCCGCACGTGTCTGTCGTGGCCGAGTCTCTGGCTAAGCACCGGCTCACTCGGCTGGACTTGTGTGTGCTCAGGCTTCATCACGGAGATCGGCGTTGAGGCAGCCAGCCAAGGTCTTCAGTGCTTCGGTGGTCACGGTTACCTCCAGGATTGGGGCATGGAGCAAAACATGCGCGATGCTCGGTACGTACCTGTTCCGTGATGCTAAATGCGCGCTTAACCCGCCTGCCTCACTCTCTTGGGGTCTTCCTACAGCATCGGTACTCTGTATGAGGGCACGACGGGTATCCAGGCACTGGATCTGCTGGGTCGCAAAATTCTGCTGCAAGGCGGCAAGAACTGGCTCTCTTACACTGGTGAATGCTTCAAGTACATGAAGAAGCAGGTGCGTGTTGTTGTGTTGTCTGTGCCGTACTTTTTTCGACAAGTTGGGTGCTCGGCTTGCCAGCTGGCGGTGCGTGCAGTCTCATGAGATCATGGTGTTATAGCTGTGGGACAACCGCCAAACGTCGCAGCACAAGCGCGAAATTGTTCGCCTGCTGCCTTATTTTGCCAAGTGGTATTACATGGTGCGTTTGTGTGTGCTGGGATGTGTGTGCTGGGACGGCCCCTTGAACGAGGACCTGCAGTATTCGACGTCGTTGGTTATGACTCATTCGTCTGTATTCGTCTTTTTTTTTTTTTTTTTTTTTTTTTGAAACATGCTTCTCGGGTTAGACGGGTCGTGTGGCTCTGCGGGCGCGCAGCGATGCGGATGCGTTGAGTGCGGCGAGCAACGACTATTTGATGTACAGCGGTTACACGGTTATGGGCTTCCACTGGCTGCGCATGATGGATGTGGCGTCGGAGCGCTTGGCCAACGGCGGTCTGAGCAAGGAGGATGAGCTCTTCTACAAGGCCAAGGTGCAGACGGGCCAGTTTTACTTTGACCACCTGCTGCCTCGCGCCAACTCTCACTTCCAGAGCGCATTGGCCTCGCACAAGTCGATCATGGGCGAGGATGCCTTCAACTTCCAACAACAATAAGTGCCGCTGGTGGAACTCTTCCTTTTTTTTTTTTTTTCTTGTTTGAAAAGGAAGCTGCCATTGGCCCGGTTTGGGGCTGTGAGTCATTTAGAGGTGGAAGGAATATTGTGTTGCGCCAACACGGGGCAAGCTCTGCTGTTCAGGCCACGGCTCTAGGGCCCTGAGGCCGGCGATTCGGACCGAGCTAATTGATGATGACCGCGATCGCCAGTCGGGCACTTTCTTTTGGGTATGGGGGGATCAGTCATCACGGGTCGGGCAGCACACCACATGAAAGGGCAACTGGACTAAGGTGACTCGCCCAGCGAGTGCCTATCTCAAAGGGGTTAAGTTATTGTAACGTGCTGATGATGATGATGATGCATGATGAGTTGACATGTCAATGACAGACGTTCTGTCTGTTGCCATCAGCTCTTGGCAAGGGGACTGTGGCGTGAGGCGCGGATGGCCGAGGTTGGTGTTGCGCCTGATTAAGGGCAAATGTCCCGGCGGTACGGGAGGATGATTCGCGTCACGACCAAGAAGGAGTGCTTTTTTGTTAAAACTTGCGCCTGCTGTTTTAGGTGCCTTTGTTGGTCGCGTGCGATGGCGACAACAGCGGGATGAACTGGGCCAGTGGTCCCTCACGCATTCAGTTCAAGGCCACAGGCCAGACAGACGTCTATCTTGACTGTCTAACATGATGTGATGGATAATTCTGTCGCGAGATGTCTGCCGCCGCGGTCACGTATACGTTTGCCGCGTAATCAAAGCTCTGTTGGGGTGTTTGGGGATGATCTTCGTATGGCTCGAGACGAACGTTGGCAAGAAATCCATGCAACAAATTGTCTTTGCCACGGCCGGGTTTGGCACCATCTTACGAACTAGTAGTGACGCCTGTCGAAAAACGCGATTCTCTCGGCACAACAGGCAAGAGCGGGCGAGTGGTCGGGCACGCCTTCCATTCCCCTTTGGCCAGTCTGATCTTCGGATCTGGTAGATGTCGATGATCGATTGATTACACATGGTCGAGTTTTGGTTGCACGGCCGTACGGCCAGAAAGAACGGTTGCGGCGCTACCTCCAGGACAGTGCGGAGGGGGAAAAGGGGGCAAGCAAGAGCATGAGTTGCAACATTAGAACGCCAAAAGACAAGATCATCCATCTGCTGTGTTGGCCGTGGTATGAGCAGCGCTGAGAAAACCATTGCGTGCCCAAAGGCAGGCGCCATTCTGAATGAAGAGCCAGTGACGACGCTTGGGCGCAGTGGCAGAGGGATTCGCAGAAAGGGGCGCGAAGTAGGGAAAGGGGTCACCACAGCTTTGGATGAATTGCGCCTTGCATCATAACCTACAATGCACGGATGTATGATTGAACGCTGGGTGTGCGGGTTCTCCTGACAGAGTGATGGGTGGACCCAACCGTTTCGCATAGAAAACCCACGCCCCCGATTACCTCATCTCTTGCTGCGCCACCGCTTTCGAGGCCAACAATTTCAGGCGTGGTGATACTCCGGGCCGAGCGCCTGGGTAGGTTGGCCCGGGACCCACATGAACCCACATATTCCTTTGTTCTACGTCGTCTCCATTAATGTGGGGCTGGAGCATTGTGTACCACGTGAGCTTAGGGTGCAAAGTGACCCAAAGCGGTCACATCAAGGCGCTTGATTTTGGCATGGTATTCAGTCAGGCCTAGACAGAAGGGGCCACCGAGACACTGGTACTGGCAGGGGAGGGCGAATTGTGGACAAAAGCAGCCCTCACTTTCGTTCTCTTTTTTTGGCACGCCCAGAACCACGCGCCCCATGATCCGGTTCAGAGCTCAATTTCGATACGTCTTAGATTGAGAGATTGAGAGAAGCCAGCTTGTCATCCGAGTGTTCTGTGACCCGGCTGGTGATGCTTTTCAGAAGTGCTGATTCGGAAAAATGATGTAGACCCAAGCCTTGATCCCTCAAAATTTAAAGCCGATTGAACATATGATTTGCACAGGACAGACTGAGGCATGTTGTCCATACTTGCGACCGAACGTGAAAGACGGATGGGCCTGCCTTGGTCCTACGGTTTCAATGGCCTGGAGGTTGCGAGTGAGATTGATTGGCAAACCCTTTGACATCAGCAAATGGAAGATTGACCAACAAAATGAGTGGTGTGGGCAAGGGGTATGTGGGTGCTGGTAGGTATTTGGTGGGATCCCCACACGGTCAGAGCACGGGCAAATCACGCCAACAGCCAGTCATGAATGATGGTTGCACATGAGTTTCAAGGTCTGGAAAAGTGATGCGAGTCCTGCTCCTTGTGTGTGCATGTGTGAGTGAGTGAGTGAGGGAGGGAGGAAGAGGCCAATAGAAATGGCGGCGGCGGCATCAGCAATGGCTCTCCCTTCTTTGATGGCGACGTACCTTTGACGTTGGTCCAACAAGTAGATGAGCCATTCAGCGAATTTACATGTTCGTCGTTCTTGACCCTTGTGCCCCACTCACTTCACATACGTGAACACATACAAACGCCGTGTGGCGATCGATGGCCGGGCCCCGAATGAGCGTCCGGCTTTGATTGAAATCGAGCACTCTAATGGTGTGTCGTGTGGTGTGCACGCCTGCAGGAAGATGACAACATACCCGCCGGCCATACATCACAACCTTGACAGTGAGCATCGATTCTTCCCACACCCATACCAAGTTCACACGAAACGACACACACACATCAAAAGGAGGAATGCAAGGGCCCACACCAAACATCACAATGTGCAGAGGAGTCGTGTCTGCTGCTTTTTTTTTGCTACTCAATCCTTCCGTTGCAATCCTCCTCCTTCTCCTTCTTGTGTTCACCATCAACCACGCGCCTTCTCTCTCTCTCTCTCTCTCTTCTTTTTTTTTTTTTTTTTGGTTTGTCCGATCTCTCCCTGAAAGGCCTTGCTAGTCTGTGCCCGGCACCCACACAACGCCATCCAACTGCCCTCCCGCGGGAGCTGGCCCTTCCACGTACCCACTGCCCTCTGCTATCCACTCTAGCAAACCCCACTCTTCAAGCCCGCCCCGCAGGCACCAAACGACCACCACGTCCCCACCACTACCACAACTCCACCACTGCACCAAACCTGACAAGCTCAGCGTTTGACCGGTCTACCCCTCTATCACCCATTCATCATCGATTCGATTCGCCTTGAAGTCCAGAAATCCATCCATGCCTTGCCCTCTCAACCCATGCGAGTCATCATCGTCACCTGAGTGCTGCCCTTGGCCCACTGCTTCCACACACACACACACACACACACACACACACTCTCTCTCTCTCTCTCTCTCGGTCTCTCGGTCTCTCGGTCTCTCGCTCGCTCTCTCGTGCACTGACTGACTTGCACCTGATTTCTTTTGGTTTGTTTTTGTATTATTTTGTTTTGTCCCGCCTTGCTTCCCCCCCCCCCCCCCCCCCTATGC